CAGAAAACAAATTTTGAACAAAACTTGCCCTTATGTAACATAATTTCGAATTAAAAAATTGTTCAAATTTCGAAATCGTTTTTGAAATTCGAAATTATGATACTCAAAAATCGAATTCCGGATTGGGGGCTAAATTAAAATTTTGATAGGGCTGATTATCATCAGTATTTAACAGATATCTGATGTGCATTAATACATATTGATATTATTGAATGATGGGCTTTTTGTTCAAATACTGAATTTGTATAATGAAAAATATTTGAAATGTAGTCAGATTAGTTGATCGAATATGATTTGTCATGTACCGAAATCGGAATGAATAGAGCGAGTGAGCTGTGTTTGTGTAACTTTCATAAGATACCATTTATCATGCTGGATGTTCAAGAAAATAATAATCAACGAGCAATTCGTTTATAGTGGACAATAATAGATGACGATAATTTTTCGCTGAAGTTGTTGTGTAATTGGTTGTGCCGTGCAACTCACAACAAGAAACGTCAAGTGATATCTTAGAAGATTGACGAATACGCATCTCTTAAAGTAACATGTGAAATTCAGTGACAACGGTTGAAATACGAACGGAATTAATATGGCGCTGTTTTGGTGGCATGTTTGTTCGATATCAAGTGCATTCACCTGCAATACACATCGTTTATTTGGTTTTCATGGTGTTTCAGTAATGTTTTTTTTGTTTGTTTGTCAGTCTAGTGATTTGTGATGTGTATGGATTACCTCTCGATAATGAAAACAATCTCAGAAATCTGGCAGTATTCAGTTTGGTAGCTGGTTCGATGAAACGAATAATTCATTCATTATTTAAGAATTGTATGATCCTATACTTATTTCTAGAGATTTTGTGGTGAATGATTTTCATTAGATGGTTATCATATCAGTGTTCATAATCAATCATGTAATTGTATTGTATATATTCGTTAGTTTTAATGTTCGCCTATTTATTTACTGCGTAAGTGATAAATTGTTATTTTGGTTTTTTTGTGTGGAGACTCGAAATATTTTATGTTTCATTGAGTATATTTTGATGATCAGACAGTAGCTAAATAATACTTCAGTGGATATCAGTTGCAGAATTCAATTGCTGTTCTTCCACCTTCCGATCGAATTAATTGTTCTTTTTGAAATGTTGATCATTCGTTTGAATATATCTTTCTCATTTTATTTTCATTCATTAAACGTTATTTTTCATTAGTAATCTAAATCAGTCAATAATTTATAGTTGTTTGCTTTAATTGTGCAGTTGTTTTTTCTGCTTGAAGTGCCAGTGATAAAACGAATAATTTATGTATGCTGAATGTGGTGTTTGATGATTGATAGTACTCTTGAAATATTGCTCGAAACGTTGTTTCGGTGTCTATAGGACATTTCTGAGTGTGTTAATTGCTTAATAAAATGTAACAAGTCATGAATTTTGAAGTAAGTCTTTTACAGTGGAGTGAGCTTGAATGCTTTGTCTAAAATTATGGAGCCAGAAAGTTGTGTTATTGAAACAAGCAATTTGGATTCGAAGCAATTGCTCAGCGTAAATGTTGAAATATTGGAATGATCAGTTGAAGCGTGCGGGATGATGCGTCGTTGAAATAGTTAGGAACTAATTTAGATATTGTTATTGATCAAGAAGATGCCTGCAATGGATGTGCGCGTAATGTATTTGATACTTCGTTCGGATCTGATCAGCCTCTTCAAATGGCCATTAGGTGCTGTCGTTACGCAAGGTGCACATGCGGCCACGGCTTGTATTTGGGCGTTTAAAGACGATAGCGATGTTGTTGAGTACATGAAAGACACTGATCATATGCGTAAAATCACTCTCCAAGTAAAAACTTGAATCTTATCAGTTTTTCTTGTCTCATTCATTCAACATTCTGCCATGTTCTCCAATATGTCAAAGATCTGCTTCTTTTTTATACAATTATCTTCCTTACTAACAATTTATTTTTCACCATTTTTTTGCAATATTGAATTGTCATTTTTTGACAATGCTTACCAGAAAAATTACAATATGAAATAAATCATTTCAAGAGGCTTTCTTTTGATATGAAATAATTTTTTGAGCTGACTGAATCCAGTAGATTTTGCCTGTGGATGTGTAATCTTGTCTCATCGTCGTTTACAATTTAATGAATCGTATTATTGGACATTCTCAAAAGTGAGGCGTGCAAACAGTACCTAACCACTCAAATATTTCTTTTCCATTTCTCAACATAAACAGAATTTTGGTTGCTCTCTTCACAAATCGTTCTCAAAAAGTATCATTTTCCAGGTCAAAGATGAGAGTGAATTGAAATCAATCGCGACAGTGCTGCAAGAAAATGACATCGACCATCGAATATGGATTGAGGACGATATGCCAGTATGTATCGCCGTTAAGCCTCTACCAAAAAATATTGTTCAAAAGCACTTAAAGCATCTCCAACTTTTCTCATAAACATTAATGTGATTTTTAATTTTCATATGTTTGAACGTTGTTATTCCATTCGCAGTTGTGTTTTTTATGTTTATCATAAAGGCGTTTATTGATTTATGAAAAACAGATAGTGAATTGTGGTTTTAAGTAAGTTGGAGCTGAAGCGTTGACAATTCAAGGTGCT